TGATCTTTCTGAAAGATCAATTAGGGGATGAAACATGCCTTGATAATATTCATAGGAACGTTTCCTGGTGATATTCATGACAGACAATTGGAATCAATGAATGTCTTCCCTTCCTTGTTTGTTCAATACACCACTTGTTAGTTCCATCATGACTGTCCTCTGCAAAAACCACAAGCCGAGAATGAGAAAACCGCAGCTCATGAGTAGTGTAGAAAGCAGGCAGTCCTTCAGAAAGTCAAAGTATTGGAGTATGGTATTGTACAGTGAAATCCTATGCATGCCTACTCAAAAGGAAGCCCCACCAGTATAGGACTGCCAAGAAAGATAGTGATGGACAGAACTGTCAATTTCAGTTCTCAGTTTTGCAGTCTTAAGCTCAGTCTGCCACATTTCCACATCAGATTGTTTATTTAAAACGCCTCGTGAAAATTCATCAACATTTAAATGCACATTTCTCCTAATATACATACTTTGTATCCAACATTGCCTAATATACACATTTTTGCAAGCAATTTCCCCTGATAGAATGCATTTCTGCTTATTTTCACTAATATATGCAGTTTTATGCACACTTTCCCCTATTACATGCATCTGAGTACACATTTGTTGCTGTTGCTGGAGAACTGCATCACAAAATTCAGGGGGGGGAAATGGAAGATTTAAAAGCATAGCTCTGTTTCAGTCCACAAGGTGTTTTGGGAAGTGAAAATTAGGTAGCTCCACATTAAAAGGTAAACCAAAGCAAATTTCTCCCCCATCCACTCTAACAGAGCACTATGCAGGAACAAAGTGGTGAATCCATCCACTTCTGCACCTGAAACAGCATATCATAAGGTGGGTGAGAAGGGTTTGTTTTTCTTTCTTAAGCAAATTAGAACCCCAGTTTTGCAAATTGGGGGTGGAAACAGTGTTTCCTAGGCCCTACTCTAGGCTGGCATAGCTGAGGGGACCAAGAATTTGGGGGTATCGGCAGGGTTCGCATGTGGCTGTCTTCACAAAATACCCCATTTCCACAGGCTACTGAATGCTTACTATCCTCTCACGTCAGTGGCAGAACTGCTAGTAGCAGCTTACCACCTGCCTGGGCAAAGTTTGGGGCCTCTAGCATGGAAGAGCAATTTCTCCACCAGCAATCGTCTCCTCTACTGGCAAAGACCTATAGAGGGGAATCAATGCACTCACCTACCCCCACCCCCTTATAACCTTTGTGACATTGTCATCCCAACCTGTAACTTGCTTTAGATACCATTTTAATCTGGGGGGGGGGAGTCTCAAGGGAAAAAATGGAGTCATGAATTATAGTTCCTCATCAGAGAGGGAGAGCCAAGACATAGTCTCATTGTTGTCCTTGTACAAATCAGCAGGGAGGAGGATGGGGACAAAACAATAATTATTTGACTCTCATGCCACCTACTGTTGGGCTCCTTGCCTTCTGTCCTACCACCCACCACTGAATTGATGTGAAAATAAAACTGAGTAATCAGTATGTATGCTGCTCTCAGTTCACTGGAAGAACAGAACAGCACTCCTGTGAACCAGGTTCAGCATCAGCACAGGTGTCTGTGTGCATGAGTTAGATATGAGGTTAAAGGCCATCTATGGGGATCACAGTTTTCTGCTGCTGCAACAGGAATTGAGGGCCAGTGGCAGCACCTAACATTCTTGGAAAGCTGTTGGAGACCCTGCAGGGCAGTCATTTAACAACAATAACAACCTAGTGCTCCTAACGGCACCATACAGTAGGGTCTAGTTACCATTTTAAGGCCGCATATTCAGTTGTTGTGCTAGGATTCCCACTAGAACAATGGGACTTTCCCCCTTTCTTCCATCCATGCCAAATCTGCTCTGGAGGGTTGGGATAGCCCCCAGATTGGCACACGGACAGGAGAAATCTTTCTGGCAGGCAAGCAAACATGCTTGTACTGATGGGATGATCTCCTTAGCACTACACTGAATACAATCACCCCCTCTTTCCCAAATGCCTCCTACTATAGCATTGCTTTGGGGCATTGTAGGAAAATAAAATGTCAGAACCCAGCTACCTGGCAGTGCTTGGAGACAAGCCCAGAGGAAGGGAAGCCAGAGGGCACTTTGCCCAGGGCCTCCTGAAACCTAGACACAACCCTGTTGTTATCTATTCCATTCTCATATTCTGAATTTCAAGATGTAGCTGCTGAATGTTGATCAGCCTGGACAGTTATGTACTTTGGCAATGGATTCTTTAAGATGGGTTTTTAGAACGGTGTCTTAGTGCCTGCAACACCCTGTATGTCAGGCCTACCAAAAGGTACATTTAAAAATTCATTCTTAAGTGGAGGACTTTGAGATTTTGTACAAAGGCATAAATAAATCTGTATTTTTCAATGAAAAGGATATATAGGAAAAGCAAATGTTTGATGCAGACTTTTTAAAAAGTTTCTATAACATGATAATAATAATAATAAATAATAATAAGTCCTGTTTCAGAAGAAGAAGAAAATACGACTACAGTAATGCTGCCCGGTCAGGGTCAGCTCCGCATATTTGTAGCGTTAAGTCCCTGTCGTGCACATTAGAAAAAGTCTTAAGATGTTTTTGTTCACAAAGCAGCACAATTCACTTTGTTGTGCTGGATCACTCCTGTTTAAAGTGTTTCCAGCTCCCCTCTCACCCTATCTTTAGGCTTCTTGGGATTAGGAAGGAGGAAGAAAGGAAATGTCTTGTTCAAGAAGGAACTGTGAATTCATTTTAAGTGCAAGGCCATAGTCCTAGCAAAAAGGGTTCTGAAAGAAATGAAGAGAGGGCTAAATTCTTTCTTTTCTGAGGCCAGCTAACACTTCATAGTGGGACATGTCACTGTCAATAATGATAAAGCGAAGGGAAAGGAAGCATGGTCAGAATGCCCTTTGCAGAGATGGGAGCCTGACCCACAGTTATGCCATGATTCATATATTTGCTTAGGTTAGGCAGGTTTTATTAAGTTGCCTTATACAGTGGTGCCCCGCAAGACGAATGCCTCGCAAGACGGAAAAACCGCTAGACGAAAGGGTTTTCAGTTTTTGAGCTGCTTCGCAAGACGATTTTCCCTATGGGCTTGCTTCGCAAGACGAAAACGTCTTGCAAGTCTTGCGATTTTTTTCCGCTTTCCCCCCGTTTTCTAAGCCGCTAAGCCTTTAATAGCCGCTAAGCCGCTAATAGCGCTAAGCCGCTAAGCCGCTAATAGGGTTGCTTCGCAAGACGAAAAAACCGCTAGACAAAGAGACTTGCAGAACGGATTATTTTCGTCTTGCGAGGCACCACTGTACTGAGCCAGAGATTGTTCTGTGGCCTTCCAGCTGTTGTTGCATTATAACTCCTATCAGCCCTACTGGCAGGGGCTGATGGGAGCTCAGGTGAGATCTAGCAACATCTGGAGGGGCACAAGTTTCTGGCAGTGGGTGCGCCCTTCCTCGTTTCTCAAATTTTCCCCACCCTAACTTTCAGTCATAATGTATTAAGGTCTTTGCTTCTGCTATAATGGTGTTTTCTATCACATTGTTCCCCCAAACCATTTTTCCTGGAGTTTCCCCTACACCATTGTTAGCCTCTACCTAGCAGCAGCTCTCTGGGGTTCAAACAGGTGGGGTTTTTTAGCTGTGCTGCCTAAGATACTTCTTTTAATTCCCAGCACCTGCAGTTAAAGTAACTTATGGGTGCAAGGCAGATGTACTACCCGTAAGTTATCATTCTTCCCAGTTAAGGAAAAACATTTGCACAATGACTTCACCCAAGGAGCAGCAGAAAATGAATGCTTCTAAGGGTTGCAAAATATTGTTAATTACACAGATATAATAATTCTTGGTCCTTGAATAGAACAGCCATATATAGGGATGTATGGACATGCCTCACGCCGTTCCAGCGTTTCATCTGGTATTTTCTGTACCCCTGCAATTGGTTTATTTTGCACAAGTCTTTTTTTATATTATGTCATCTGCTGGTTCTGAAATATACCTATTTTTAAATATCATAGTGCACAAAAGATACAAACATCTCAGCCATCAACAGATGTTTACAAATCAGTCACTTTCTCTGTGTGTTCCTTTCCGAAGTTAATGCTAGTCTTTTGCAAGAAAACAAAAAATAGAGTCTTGTGGCACCTTAAAGACAAAGTGAATGAAGCGGGGTCCTTCTGTTTGTTTTCACAAATATCACGATCCCCTGTTGCCTCTACCACTCTGGGTAAAGATGTCACAGGTTGGCATCCTGCATTTTACTTAATGCATAAGGGTTAGGGTCATAAGTCAACAGGTAAAAAATAGACTACCTCTTTCCATGCGAAAAGAATGATAATGAAGGATACATTCCTTTGGTTATTCAATTTCGCAGAAGGAAGCAGATAAAGGCTGCAATCCCAATCCTAACCCCATCATCTGAGACTAAATTCCATTGAACTCAGTGGGACTTACTTCTGAGAAAACATTTACTAAAAGCCCAGAAAGAACGGAGTATGCTCAAAGACCTCCACAACCAATGGAGGCTCAGTTGAAAAATAGAAAAGGAAATTTGAGGGGCTGGTGAGTGAAACTGCATACTTGTTTGTTGATTTATATAAGTTGTTTTGTTGCTAGAAGTCCCAACCATGTAAACTTGGGCAATTTAAGAAATCTTTTGTATTCCATATCACGAGGTTTACCTCTAATCATGCTGATTCCCCTGCTTTTATTATTACATTATTTATTATCTGGGCCCGGTGATTAGGGATTAACAGCCTTTGGTTTATCCCTGAATTGCCCCAATACCAGTTGCATTCACACAAAAATAGTGAAAAATCAGGTCTCATGAAGCACAAGATGATTCAGAAAGCAACAGAATGAAAAGAGTTAACAATAACATCATGCGGAAGTGTTCTAAAAACAAATGAATCTTTTAAAAAGAGCAATTCCAGAGAAATGGGCTAGTGTAAAGGCACCCTAACTATCCCATTGTAGTCTAAACAAAAACCAAAGCTTTTACACTGCATGCTATCAGCACAAACTCCTTACCTGTAAAATATGTGTTGGCAGGCAGAGTAGAACTTGGAAATTTATAATACCCATTTCCTGGAAAACGGATTCCTTTCATTACAGTTACACTTGATGTTGCTAAAGATGCATCCATTCTTTCAAGCTGATAGATTGGAGGAGGCCCATTAAGTTCTTTAGGTTCCTTCCAACTTATCTTTATCACTGTGCTGTTTATTCCTTCAGCATAAGGGGCAATTAGCTGTCTTGGAGCTATTTATATAAAAAGAAAAAAGGAAAGATGCATCTGTCCAGTTAAGGTTATCCAAACAATACTGGTTTTCCGAATAAACCAGGGAGTTCTACATGTATAATATATCATCCCCTAGGAAAGCAGTATCAATTGCAAACAACCTTTGACCTGTGTGCTATTGCAATCATACAGTACAGATAATTCTTGATTTAGTAAAAAATCTAAATGGAAGCCCTCTGATGTCTTGTTTGACTTGTCAGTGGTACAGTACTGGCTTTTTTTCACCTTAACTACTGACTGAAAGTAATTTTATCTCAGCATCATAAAAATAATAATACAGACCTTAAGGCACAAATTCAACTACAGTGGTAGCTCGGGTTACAGACGCTTCAGGTTACAGACTCCACTAACCCAGAAATAGTACCTTGGGTTAAGAACTTTGCTTCAGGATGAGAACAGAAATCGTGCTCCAGCGGCACGGCAGCAGCAGGAGGCCCCATTAGCTTAAGGTCTGTTCCAGGTTAAGAACAGACCTCCAGAATGAATTAAGTTCTTAACCCGAGGTACCACTGTAATTCTTGTAAACAAGGGCACCCAGCTATCTCTCCAGAGTGTATTCAAATATATCAGGAGCAGGAAATATAGGTTCTCTTTGAGAGGAGGGATTTTGTGTGATCTTTTACCGCTCAGTTAAATCACAATAGAGAAGGCACCTGTCTGATTACAGTGGGAGGGAGTTCCAAAGGTTAGGTATTGCTACGCTAAAGGTCATTTCTATCATTGTGTGGAATGGATCTCCTCGTTGGATGGTATCTGCAGGATGCTTTTTCCTACAGAACACACCAATCAACTGGGTATATAGGAAGTGTGATGATCGTATCCATATCCTGGTCCCAAGCTGTATGCAACTTTGTACACTAACACCAGCACCTTCAACCTAACTCAGTGGAAAATGGCAGCCACTGCAATTCTTTCATATGATGGCCGTTCCCCCCCCCCTCCCAGTGAGCAGTTGAGCCAATGCATTTTGCACTAGTGCAATTGTTTGGTATGCAGTCTTTTGTAGCTTGTTGCGGTTTGCCGGCCTGAAAAACTGGTCACTGCTATGCAGCAATTTCCTCAAGGTATCTTTTAGCTATAATATACTGTTGCACACCACCCCAATCTCTTCGCAGTGCTAGATTCCAGTGGTTTCAGGCACTTACCCAGGATATGGTTTCCTTCGGAATGAGGGACGGCGGAGACTGTGATGTTTTTATGATCTATGGTTTATTTGCACATATTTACAACCTGAGCTTCCAGCTTCTACCTCACACACACCAACTCTCAACTATGGCCTTTGTCTTTCTAACTACCAGCAAGTTGAGGAAGTGGGGCTCACCCATTTGCAATCTGGCACAGAGCTGCTTCCTTTGTTACCTTAATGGCCCATATTTAGGTGGCCATTAACTCAACAGGAAGCTAGCCTGGCTATTTCAGGAATTGAATCCATTCTGGATCCAGGAATTAGAGGGAGGGGGCCCCAGGCATACAGTCTACCCACCAAAAAACCCCACCTCATAGCAATACTTTTATCCACTCTGTACCCCAAGCAATCATTACTTTGCAAACCTCTAATGTTTTTACACGAGGAGAGTCCTAAACTATGCAGTATATATCAAAGACCAAAGGTTTTTGGTGATTATAGGGCACGACATTCATTTGGAGAACAATCTGGATTAAAATATGCATCTTGCAAATTACATCAGTTAGCTAAGAGTTTGTTGCAAAGCGCTTCATTTATAACAAATTAATAACATATCCTTAAAGCTTCTTGCATACAAAACCATCATTTTCTCACATTAACCTGTAGTATGTTGCTATTACTTTTTCTACAACATGATAAAATATTACTTTTGGCAGAGGGAATGATGGGAGACAAAAACCCACCAACCGTGCTATGCATTGTAAATTCTTGCTTGGACATCATTTATGACTTCACAATCTAATTAGTATCATACTGCTATGTTCGAAATTTACTGTGTTGAAATTGAAGTAGTGCAGTGTGAGGTCACAAGCTTCCCCGCATAAGTAGCGCAGAGCGCTAATGAAATGCAGTATTAATGCACAGGTTTCAAAAGAAAACATGGCTTTACAATTGGAACTTCACCTTTGGAGCAAATCAGTCTGTGTCAGCATTTTAAATGTGAGTGCTAAGGTTGAGTCCTCTAGTTCAGCTTAGAGTTGCTAAAGCAAAAAGGCTAAAATTCATTATTTCTAAAATGAATACATACAGCCAACCTTTCTTCACAACAACAACCACATCTCCCTTAAACAACCATCCTTTAATAAATAGGAGTTGCCTGCACTGTAATTATAACATCTTTGCTACCCAAATTTGAAGCTTTTATGGGGCTTGTGCAATTAACTACTTAAATGCATTGTAACACTTGCTTCTCTGACAGGAAAGTATTGATTTTTTAATCATTTTCAAGTCTACTCTAGCACAAATAAATGTACTACAGTTACAGTTAATGCACTGTGTACCCGCATTAAACACTAGCATGACACAATTTATTATTTTGTGATATATGGAACAGAAACCCAACCTTTCAAAAAGCAACATCTTCGGTATAACATTAGTATTGTAACTACCATGTCCTTGGTGATTCAGAATACTTGTGTGTTGACATGTACAGTGAAGAGTCTCTACTGAAGCTGGTACTTCAGCAATTTGGATGAAAAAAGTAAGATTATAAATCTGCAGTACAGGTTGCCATGTCACTGGATTGTACAATATAGCTACTGGAGGCTAAAAGGCACAGTATACATTTCCTAAAGGTGTCACTGTGGTACCTGTAGCTGCTTTGTCAAAGGAGCAGTCTATAATTTTGCCTATTTAAATTTTGTCCAAGCCTCCTAAAACACATCTGTCAAAGCATACTGTATTTTAGTAGACTCAGCTATATTTTGCATATTTTAATTATGTAGTGTTTTTAAAATTTATTCCTAGATAATATATAGTTGATATATTATAAAGGTAAAACATTAGTTTAAACGCCTATGACTAGGTGTTTGCTGTTGTGTAACAGAGGGCACTAAACAGATGGCCCATACTGTTTTATGTATGGGCTTATAGATATTGCTGTATAGGTCAGTATAAAAAAAAGCATTTCACTTGTGTGCGTGAACACACACATACAATCTGTGTGCCTAAAAGAAAAATATAATTGTTGGTAAGTAAAGAGCAGTTAACTTTGTTTTGTTTGAAACGATATCATTTTAGTTTTAGAAGCTAAGACAGATGCCAGCATTTCACTGCGAACAGATGGTAATTCCATCTAATAGTGCATCTCTGTATTAGTAAGGTCTGTTGTGTATACAAACAGTAATAAACACTAGGTGAGTATCAAAATAAATTTTAATTGTTGACATTAAATTCTGGCAGCCATGCTTCTAAGGATAGTGTATTCTTTTCACAAATCTGTCAGGTTTGCTAATGCAGCTGCTAAAAGTTTCCTATAGCCTGTCAGGTTCTAAAGCTAATAAAAACGCATTTGCATTACAGCTACAAAATTTACAGGTCTACTTCTCTCTCATGCGTTTATATCAACAGCAACCTCTCAAATAATCAGCAGCACTTCTAATGTTTGGTTCCTCTTGGCTTTAGTCTGAAATTTGCTCCTCAGTGTTTTCTCTTCAATTAAAAGCCGAAATAGCAACAGTCTTTAGCAGCACTTTGAAAACATAACCAGTCGTGAGAATATGGTCTCATTTATGCTTTGGCTACTGCTAATTAGAACTCTAACCTTTTAAATGGCTACTTGTACTACAAACATGAGTCTGACCAAACTGCAGGAGGCAGTGGAAGACAGGCGTGCCTGGCGTGCTCTGGTCCATGGGGTCACGAAGAGTCAGACACGACTAAACGACTAAACAACAACAACAACAAGGGTTGTCCTTAAACACACACATACACTCAAACTCGTATGGTGTACGATTTCAGTTTGTAAGCAAACGTTCAATGTTATGTTTGCCTCTTGACTAAAAAATGAGAGCTCCCTTCGCTGAAGCAGCTTGGCTATTGTTACAAGATGTTACTAAAAGGGTGCCGGGAATGTTTTTAATAGAACTGCAACTAGTTTGGCAATGCAAAGTATTTTGCCATTCAACCTCATGGGTAAATCTTTGTAGTGAATGGGAGTGACGGAGACATAGAAATGGTTGAGCAAGGATAGCTTAGTTCTGTAGTCCAGAATCCTAACTGATGAACCCCCAAAGACACGACTCAACAACAGGGTTGCCTAGTGATTGATTTAAAATGTAATGTCCTGAACTTCGATTTTTAAAACTTATAGGAGGGCTTACATTAAGACACTGTGAAAACCATTTTCAAAACAAAGTTAATAACAAATGAATTACAGAGAACACAGCAAAACAGCAACAGACAACAATAAAACTGTTCCACAAGTAGCAGTCATAATTACATATTTTTTTAAAAGCTAAACTGAAACTGAAAAATAAAAACTTTAGGTCCAGTACCCAGAAGCAGTGCCTATGCCTTTAAATTTCCAGGTGTTAAATGAGCTTCCTGCCATGGTGCAAACCCATTATTCGCTAGTCCCTTCTCTCTGGCCACCTCCATCATGATATTAAATTTGTCCTATAGGAGACAGGTGAGAGTACAAATGAAGAGCTAGTAGGGAACTAATGGGCAGTGGGGGCAGCGACAGCCTTGTTTGCTGCCTTGGGGCATTTATAGCTACTCAAACCATCCCTGGGCAAGGATTAGGCAGCTGTATTGGTTATCCTGATGACATACCTGCACACGGTAGGACTAAAGCTACTTATTTCCAGTTTAAAACAGTAGGGCTGGAATATTCCTCAAATAAACATAACAAGTTTTAAGGGTTCATTGTATTATGAACATAGAATCATATTTCTTTAAAAATCAATGTAAAAAAAATCCCGAAAAATATATTGCTTCCACCATATGGGACAACCAACGACTCACCAACCGATTTAAGATGCAGCATATTGA